TTCTTTCTTTCTTTCTTTCTTTCTTCCTTTCTTCCTTTCTTTCTTTCTTTTGTTCGTTCGTTTGTACATTCGTCCGTTTGTTTGTCTTTAATTTGGTTATAAATATTTTGATCTTTCTTTAGGGCTGGGCACCGAAGCCAAAACCTACAGGAAGGAAGGACGTCGCAACTATGATGCCGTTGTGTACAGTGTTGGAGCAGCGCTAATTCTTGTGATCTTGCTATCTTTCCTGAGAGGATTCTATCGGTTAAAGCTGGATAGATTACGGTAAGTCATATGAGCCGGTAAAGTGTACCAATAGATTACCGTAAATATCCTGGAAGTATAGACCCCTACCTTGGGCTTAATGTTTTTCCATGATTTCAGACCACGTGTTATTCCCTAGAGTATGACTTCTTTGTTTAACGGYTGCACATGAGAAGACTGATGAATATGGACACAACTCAAAATGAGAAGTGGTCTGAAATGGGAAAGTATTACATATCCTTGCAATGCGAATTGCGCACCCTAGCTGAAGTCTAAGATGTCGGCTTATTTTCCCCAGAATCCATTTCAGACCATCATTTCCTAGGGTATCATTTCTTTGTTTAACGGTTGCACATGAGAAGACACATGAATATGGATACGACTCAAACAAATAATCGTATTCTCAAGAAAATGACACGTGGTCTGAAATGGGAAAGCCTCATATACTTGCCCAAGGTAAAATCTATCGCAATGCGAATTGCGCGCCCTAACTGGGCCCGGTTGTACGAAGGGTGGATAGCGCTCTCCGAAGGATAAATCTTATCCAGTTGATAAATTTATTGTATAACCGCAGCATCGACTTATCCACTGGATAAGGATTTATCCGCCGGATATATAGCGCTATCCAGGCTTCGTACCGGGTCTTGAAGTCTAATTTTCCGGCTTATTTTCCCCAGAATCCACGAGGACAAGAAGAAGCAGATTTCATTTCCGGTCAGCAACCCTCGCTTCCAGGACCCTGAGTCACCCGTGGAGAAAATCAGGACACCTGGGCAAGGGAGGTACGTAGCTTAACGAGAAAGAAAAGTCAACCAAGAAGTTTGTTTTGTATAACCATTTATAATTTATTGGACTCTGTTTCTCTCTCTTTATGGCTCTAGGAAACTAATGGCGTCGATAAATGCTGAGAAATCATTAGGTGAGATGTATTCACATGATGATTTTCGTATGCCTGTCAAAAGCTGATCAAAAACAAGGTCGTGACACGGCAAGTCATGTGCCTGACCAACGACATTGCGCGAGTAACTACTGTTCATCCAATCAAATACCCGAAATATGACATAAACACGGCGCGGACACGGTCACGTCAAGGTTACGGCGTGAGAAAAAAATCAAATTCTAGAAAAATTACGCTCACTGCAAGGCACGCTCACGGCAAGGCACGCTCACGGCAAGGCACGCTCACGGCAAGGCACGCTCACGGCAAGGCACGCTCACGGCACTGTCCTTTTCACAGTCGTGCGAAAAATCTGCTCTAACTCTAAAAATATCGACAAATTTAGGTGATTATACATGATTACATGATTACATGATTACATGATTACATGATTACATGATTACATGATTACATGATTACATGATTACATGATTACATGATTACA